TATACATGGAAAGCTGCAAGTCGTTGCTGAAAGAAATTAAAGAAGATATAAATAAATGGAAAGACATTCTGTGTTCATGGATTGGAAAACTTTACATTATTTAGATGTCAGTATCACCTAAAGAGATCCACAGATTCAATGTAATCCCTATCAAAATCCCAAGAACGTTTTTTGTGGAAAGAGTAAAATCTTTCGTAAAACTCATATGGAATCTCAAAGGATCCAAAAAAAAAAAAACCCAAATTTTGAAAAAGAACAAAATCATAGGGCTCACACTTCCTGTTTTCAAAACTAGAGTGTGGAATTGGCATAAATACAGACATCTAGGCCTATGGAATAGAATTGAGAGCCTAGAAATAAGCTTCTCACACATGATAAAGTGATTTTCTACAAGGATGCCAAGACTGTACAATGGCGAAAGAATGGTCTTTTCAACAAATAGTGTTGTGAAAACTGGATATCCACATGCTGAAAAATTGAAGTTGAATCTTTATGCTATATACAAAATTAACTCAAAATGGATTGAAGACCTAAATGTAAGAGGTAAAACTATAAAATTCTTAGAAGAAAACTCTCAGGGGAAAAGTTTTGTGTTATGGGATTTGGTGATGATTTCTTGGATATGACACCAAGAGTCACAGACAACAAAAGAAAAAATAAATAAGACTTCATCAAATGAAAAACTTGTACATCAAAGGACACTGTCAGAATGAAAAGTCAATGCATGGAAAAGAATTTGCCAATCATGTATCTGATAAGAGAGTGACATGCAGAGTATATAAAAATATTCTTATAACTGATCAAAAAACAAACAACCTGATTAAAAAATGAACAAAAGGGGGCTGGCCCTGTGGCTGAGTGGTTAAGTTTGCGTGTTCTGCTGCAGGCGGCCCAGTGTTTCCTTGGTTCGAATCCTGGGCGCGGACATGGCAGTGCTCATCAAACCACGCTAAGGCAGCATCCCACATGCCACAACTAGAAGGACCCACAACGAAGAATATACAACTGTGTACCGGGGGGCTTTTGGGAGAAAAAAGAAAAAAATAAAATCTTAAAAAAAATGAACTAAAGATTTGAATTGACATTCTCCAAAGAAGACATACAAGTGCCCAATAAACATGTGAAAAGATATTCAACATCAGTAATCATCCGCGAAATGCAAATCAAAACCACAATGTGATACCACCTTGCACACATTAGGATGGCTATTATAAACAAACAAACAAAACCCCAGAAAATAACAAGTGTTGACAAAGATGTTGAGAAATTGGAACACTTGTGCATTGTTGGTGGGAATGTAAAATCTTTTAGCTTCTGTGGAAATGGTATGGGAAGTCCTCAAAAGGTTAAAAATAGAGTTACTGTATGATATGGCAATTCTCCTTCTGAAGATATATCCAAAAGAAATGAAAGCAGGGATGCCAAAAGATATTTGTACTCATTTTTATAACAGCATTACTCCCAACAGCCAAAAGGTGAAAGCAACCCAAGTGTCCATCAGCAGATGAACAGGTAAACAAAATGTGGTGTATACATACAGTGAAATAGCATTTAGTCTTAAAAAGAAGATAAAAACTCTGACATATGCTACAACATGGATGAACCTTGAGGACATTAAACCAAGTGAAATAAGCAAGTCACAAAAGCACAAATACTGTATGATTCTACTTATATGAGGAATCTAGTGTAGTCAAATTCATAGACACAAAGTACAATGGTGGTTGCCAGGAACTGGAGGGATGGGTGATTGAGGAGTTATTCTTTCATGGGTACGGAGTTTCAGTTGGGGAAGATGAAAAAATTCTGAAGTTGGATGGTGGTGATGGTTGCATAACAATGCGAATGTTATTAATATCTCAGGACTGTACACATAAAAATGGTTAAAATGATAAATTTTATGTTGTATATATTTTGCCACAGTTTTTCAAAAAAGAGCAGTATTTGTCCTTAAGTAAAGACTACAACAGTGCCTCATAGAACTTTTAGGAGGAAGAAAGATATGCATTATTCATACAGACCCAGGCAAAATTGTGAAATAAGGGGTTTGCTTTTAATATCCTCTACCTCTCTCTTTCTAGGTTTTTCCTAATTCTTACATGTTCTGTCATCTAAGAAATTTATATTGTGGTGATCTACACATGCCATACTTTAATCCTGAGTTAATCCTGAGTTCTGCACCAATTTCTTCACCATTATCACTTTAAAATTTTATTCCTTCCCATTTTCTCAGAAGCATGCCCTAAGTTAACTATCACTTGGGGATTTAATTTAATATTTTTCTTCCCATTATGGTGTAAATGATTGAATCTATGATGGACTCTTCAGTGAATTTTTAATGAAGGAATCTGGCACTGTGCAAACCAATTCAGGAGATAATCAGATCTTCTAAGTAACCTCAAATTGCAACATAGAGACACCCTCACTCTTAGACTACAATACATCTGACTTTTGGGATCATAGAATTAAAAACAAAATGATAAATTCCGCAAGTTAAAAAGGCCCAGCAACATGGATTCGATTGAGAAGTTTCTGCATACCACTCCTTGTTGTTCCATATCCTGTCCAACTGTGGCACTACTCAACACAATTTAGTGATGGCTGTGGTGGAAGAAATCTACATAGAGTCAGATTTTAGTATAGCAAATCATTTCAGATTTGAATCTAGATGTGTGGCATATGGAATTAAAAGGCAAATCAGCCACAATTCAAGGAAAATTGTTTAAATGGTTTAAAATATACAATTCTCTGTTGGGGGAAAAATGAATATCCAGAAAATTTTCAGATGCATTTTTGAATATCCAGCAGTTATTTGAAGTTCATGATTGCTTTTCTAATAAAAATTAGTTGAAAATGTATGCTCATTAGCTTCATTTTATAACAAAAAGAACCCCTGTTGAGACTGTTCAGAGGGAAAAATGTTTTATTTAGCTATTTTCCTAGTTCTAACACTTCCAGAAATCATCATCATTTCCTTGTGTATTAAAAAGAGCAAAGAACATTGCAAACAGTTGTTAACTGAGTAATTGTAATGCAAAACAATTTCTTAGTACTTAAAAAATGTTTACACCTATGCAAGAATGTGTGTACATTTTATACACATATTGCTGAAATCTGATAAAAATAGAATATTTTATAATCACAAATAGATTGTGAAAATTGCTGGGAGCTAAAGGGGACTTGAAAATAGATATTTATGCAGATGCATGCATAGCTAATTGAATGACACACACACACATATATACGAATAACTATTTACTTTAGTTCATTTTTTGTTCAACCAGATTTCCTGGACTACTAAGGTTCCATGAGGTAATAACCGGTGTATTCCAGCTATTCTAAATATTTCAAAGGTCTTATGGCAATTATAAATTTAGCCATGGTATGATTCATAGACTAATCAAATTTCTTCACTTTTGGATAGAATTATATCAATTCTGTCTGGAAATACTGCTTTCCTCGGGCTGACTAGAAGCTCTGATAGACTTCTAATTCTAGATCTTTGATAAAAATGGGACAGTGAATTAACAATTAGGCCTTAGAACAGAGCTTTAAGAGCTCATGTTCTGGAGTCAGAAAGACCTGGGTTCCAAGCTTGGTCCCAGCACTCACTAGCTATTTTATCTTGGATGAATTACTTAATGTCTCTAACACATTGTCTAAGTTTCCTCATTTTTAAAATGGAAGAAAATGCTTGTTTCGTAAGGTTGTTGTAAGAAATAAATAACCTGCTACAAGAAGAATGCCTAGCACAGAACAAACTACCTCGATAAACTCTAGCTATTAAGATCTCTGTAATTATTACAGAATAATAGCTGGTCTGTGAAACCTTTCAAAATAGAAGTAAAATTCCTCCAGGAGTAAAATCAACAAAATAGACCTTTAGTCATAAAGTAGATTTAGTTAATATTGTTTAAATGTGACATTTCTAAATCAGCTCTCAGTACTCATGTGAGTGATCTCAAGAACATGTACCAGACAGATGTATTATTATTATTAAATAATATTTTGTCCAAAATGTGATTAAGTAAAAATTATGTTTTTGTGATTGGGTTGCCAAGCATTAACTATTAACCAGCATATTTACTCCCACGATAGCTGATGCAACCAGTAGGGCAAGAACAAACTTGTCAAAGGAAAATCTCCACCATTGCTGAGGACTACAACTGGACGGGTGCTATTTGTGGTTGAGATAATCTGCTTTTTTAGAGAGTGACATTTGCACAGGGTAGAGAATGGAATAAAGCCCTGCTTGGGTGGTTATTGTGAAAAACCAAGCGTCTGAATCCTTCTGCTTCTCCCAAGCCTCTTGGATCGGTTACATCCACAGAAAAAGAAAAAGAGCCAAAAAATGCCTTTGTTGTGATAAAAGCACTAAGAATTTCAAAAACACTGAGATTCCACAGGGAGGTGCTATGTTTAATTGCAGGGGTCCATCACAGCATCCAAGGATGGTTGAGTTTCAATCAGAGAGGCCTCTGTGATTTGGTCTGCCCAAACTTGAAATTCTGAAATGCCTGGATGGCAGGAATATCAAGGGGGAGTTAAAGATGTAACCTTAATAGTAATTCCTCATGTTTTATGGTGCCTAAGAGTTGTAAAGTATGTTTATATACATTATGTCATCCTCATAGCAATTGTTTGAGAGAGACAGGGCAGGATGTCATTATTCTAATCTTACAAGTGAAGAAAAGGGCTTGCCGTGCTTGAGCGGTTTGGCTAAGGCACCCAGTTAAAAAGAGAAACAATCAGGATCAGGTCCTCACTTTTCTGACTTCCTGTGGCATTCTTTCTATTTGACCATGTTGGTTTTCATGTATGGTGATTTATTAGCATGTTGTATGCAAAAAAAAGCTTTGCATGAATAAAGTAGATTTAAAATGTGAAAAATAATCATATGTTAACCTATGTTTGTCATTTGTTGCTAAGCTTTCTTTTATTTCTATTGTCTTATTCCTTAAGAAGCTAAACGAGATTCTGATAGCTAATTTCTTTTTTTCTCATTAGGCTCGAATTATGAAAGATGTGATTTTGAGGATGGGCTCTGCAGTATGATACAAGATCAGAGTCTGAGACTTGGTTGGATCAAGAGAAATGGGATGACTGGTCTGTCAGCTCCATTTTACGATCACAATGGTGATATGTCTGGTAAATGTTTTGAATCTCTTTCTTTAATTTTTTTGCTCAAGTGGTCAATTAGGCCAGTAGAATCTTAGCTGATATTTAGATAGTAATAATGATAATATCTAATTTTATGCATTCTTTAATCATTTTCAAGGTATTTATGATTCTAAAATATTACATTGGATTCTCATAATTGGATTTCTGGGATCCCAAAGTCTATCTAGACAATACTTGGGATTTTCCAGCCATTTTGACTCTTTATGGAATTGTAAAATTTAAACCTGATAATACTATATAGATGAATTGGTCAAATTTCTTTGCTTTTGGCTGGACTGATAGCTCTGTCTAGTAACACTTGTTTTCTCAGGCTGACTAGAAAACTCTGAGGTGCTGCTTACTAGTCTTTGAGGTGGCTCTGGAGCCACACATTTATTCATTTGTTTATTTGTTAACTAATGAACTTCATACATTCACCATTTTGTGCCAGGTGATTAAGATATTTCAGTGAGGAAAAATCAACTCCATGTCAGCTCTCATATATTGGGCTTAGACATGAAAAGAGGTAATAAATTGCATGGCGTAACTAATTGAAGGCTGGTGATTTTTTGTAAATGTGATGCTTCTCTCAAATAAACACAAATAAATGTTAAATATGAGTATATCCCTAGAGATAATTTAAGAAAGCAAATGTTCAGGCTTTATAAAGCTTTATAAAGGTATAAAACAATAGATTATTTGGAAATGTTTACATAAGTACTACACATGTGGATTAGAATCCTGACTCCACTTACTAGCTGTATCTTGAACAATTAATTTTTTTAAGCCTTGGTTTTCTCAACTTTCAAAGGGCGAATAATGATGCTTAGTTCATAGGATAGTTGGTTTAAGAGCTAAATGAGATGTTGGTAAAAACTTGTCATAAAATATCTGATGTTCAAAAGAGCTATATATTTAGTACATTTCCGAATAATTTTGGTGTTCCTCACTTTAACTTCTATGTAAGTAAGATGGAGTTTCTTATGTTGTTTGGCTTTGATGTCAAAATACTTTTTTTTTTAGAATTTTTAATAATTGTCAGGAATAAGCCAACTTTATCACAAGAAAGGCACCAGCTTCACAAACAGGACCAATGACTCACTGCAATGCTTGTAACTCGAATTGTGGATTCAGTTGTGTTAGATGGTGATATTGACTCTTGTTCCCAACTTTTAGCCATTGCAATGCCTTGTGAATTGTTTGATTCTGTATATCTCTCCTTTGGCATCTCGCCACTGCTCCTTCCTTTTAGTTAAAAGAAGAAGAATTTTCACAGCATACATTTGTTTACCCTAATCTTCTTCATGGGTAGAATACCTGATCCTTTCCTCTTTTTTTGTATGTGGCTCTTACTCTATTCTTCTTGCTTACTCCTCATCTTAGATTTAGACAACACTAAGATCTCCATCATTGTACCTTTTTCCTTTCCCCCTTGTTTACTTCCCTCTTTCTTTCCTTTCTTCCTTCTCTTTTCTCATTTTGCTGTGCTAATTTTTTGATAGCCTAGCCATGAGATAAAATGGGGGTAATTCACATCAAAATTGAGATATTTTATAGGCAGACACCATTTTAACTGTGTCACTTGGTTTGACTTAAGATCTTTGGAGTCAGACTAGATGGGTTTGAACCCTGGCCCTGTCAAGCTGTTAGCTGTGTGGTCTCAGTTTCCTTATCCGTCAAGTGGAATAATAATAATACAAGCCTCATAGGGAAAGGGGGGCAAAATATGGCCTGGCATAGTTACTGAAGGGAGGTAATTTTAATAATAGTCACGCATCTTTTGTAACTGCAATTAAACGTTAAAATATGAGTATTTCCCTAGAGATAATTTTAAATAAGCAATTGTTCTGCTTTTAGATATTAGCTATTTGAAAATGTTTATGGAAAAATCAACTTGTTGGAATCTTGTCTCCATTCGAAAATCCTTATTTCATGAGTATTAATAAAATTTTTGATTAAGTTACTCTTGGAATAATTTGTCAGTGCTCCAAAATAATATTTTTCATCATGTAATCAATGCTTTGAGAAGTTTTCAGAGCTAAGTTTGAAAATCTATTAGAACATCAAACACATCACTGTGTCAATATTTCGAGTCTACTAAAGCTCAGGGCAGAGTGATTAAAATTTAGTATTGATTTTTAAAAGTGTATCGCATTACATTTAGATAAAATAGTATGACTATGAAAATTCAAATACATCTTTGCAATGACAGTAAACTTTATTTTTTAAAAAAGCATGGAATGTAAGAGTTTTTATTATAACTCATAAGAATATGAGTTTTAAATAATTCTGGAGTTTAGCTGATATTAAAGGTGATACATGAGGCTTTTAAAATGCATAATCCACTATAAGTCTAAAAAGTATAGGTTATCAAAGATAAAAAATAATGTATTTGAAAAGTTAACGTTTCTCTTTATGTCACTGATTATTTTTGTTGAGTATTTAAAATTGGATTTAAGCGGGAATACTAGAATTTTTGTTTTTTTGACCAACTGTTAAATTGAATCTAAAATCTATATGTTATATTTTGAAACACACACACTATCAAACAGCACCCAATCTTTTTATTTTGTTCTAGGACGGTGTGATGGTCTTAGCCTAGGCCTGGAGGCCCTTTGCTATTCTCCGTAGCCACACCTGCAGTGACTCCTTGCTGGGGCATTTCTTTGGTCTGTGGGACTGTTGGACAGCACATGATAGCTTAGGAAGTTTCATCTACCTACACTGTGTATCTTCTTTGTTTTTCTTCCCAAAGCCCCAGTACATAGGTGCATATCCTAGTTCCTCTATGTGGGATGCTGCCACATCATGGCTTGAGGAGCAGTGTGTAGGTCCACACCCAGGATCCGAACCAGAGAACCCTGGGCCACTGAAGCGGAACATGTTAACTAAACCACTACACCACCCGGCAGGCCCCCTACACTGTGTTTCTTAATTCATGGTCATATTAACTCTATTTTGCCTAGTAAGCTATAAATAGTGTCTATGTGCCCATTTATTTTTCATTTGTGTAGTTGTTCCCCCTGACAGTTTATTATAAAAACTTTGAAGCATATTAAAAAGTTGAAAAAAAATTATTGTGAATAGTATATACCCACCACTTAGGTTGTACAATTAAAATTACTATGTTTGTTTTAGCAAGAATCTATTTATCTACCCATCCATCAATCAATCATATTTTTTCCTTTTTTGCTGAGGAAGATTCACCCTGAGCTAACATCTATGCCAATTTTTCTCCATTTTCTATGGGGGTCACTGCCACAGCATGGCCACAGACGAGTGGTGTAGGTCAGTGCCCAGGAACCGAACCCAGGCTGCTAAAGTAGAGCACATTGAACTTAACCACTAGGCCACAGGGTCGGCCCCCAATCCATCATATTTTTAATGCACTCAGAGAATGTTGCTGGAATCACTTTATCCCAAATACATTATTTTGGTATTATTAAATAGCTGCAGGTGTCAACAAACTATGGCCTCTGGGTCATTTTCCTGTTTTTGTAAATAAAGTTTTATTTGAACACAGCCATACTCATTCATTTACAAATTGTCTGTGGCTGTTTTTGTGCTACAATCTTGGTGTTGAGCGGTTGTGACACAGACCATATGGTCCACAAAGCCTAAACTATTTGGCCTTTTAAGAAAAAGTTTGCCCGCCCCCATGGTAGAGTACAGTATTCATTACTGTTCTTCTTCTTTAGAGGGAAAACTTACTTTTTATAAAAACACCAATCTTAAGGGTACTCTTTGATAAGTTCTGACAAATGCATTCACCTGTGCAACCCACACTCCTAACAAAGTGTGGGACATTACATGTCATGCCAGAAAGTTCACTCATGTGCCTTCCTAGTCTATCCTTGCTGCCACCCTCCGCTCCCAAGGCAATCACTGTTTTGATTTTTCTTTTCATAGATTAGTTCTGCCTATTCTAGAACTTCATATAAATTAAGCCATACAGTATATAGACTTTTGTGGAAGATTTTTTTCACTTAGCATAACGCTTTCAGATTCATCCATGTCATAGCATGCATCATTAGTTCTTTCCTTTATGTTGCTGAGTAGGATGCAAGCATATGAGTTTACTTATCCATTCTCTATTTATGAACCCCTGTTTTTTTCCTGTTTTGGGCTATTATAAATAAAACTGTATGAGTATTTTTGTACAAGTCTTTGTGAACATATGTTTTTAATTCTCTGTGGTAAATACCTAGAAGTGAAATATTGTGTCCATGAATGTTTAGTTTCATGAGAAGTGCCAGAGCTTTTTCTAAGGTGATTGTACCATTTCACGCTCCCACCAACAATCTATGAGACTTCCCATTGTTCCACACCTTTGTCAATATTTGGTGTTTACTATTTTCACATGATCATTCCTCTAGGTGTATAGTGGTATTTCATTGTGGTTTGAATTTGATTTTTCCTGGTGGCTATTGATAAGGATCACTTTTACATGGGCATATTGGCTATAATATACCTTCTTTTGTGAATTTTCTGATCACATATTTTGCCTATTTTTTTATTGGTCTACTTGTCTTTTTATGAATGAATTTTACTTTTATAAAACAAGCTCTATTTTTTAGAATAGTTTTAGATTCACAGAAAAACTGAGCAGAAGTCACAGAGATTTCTTATATCCTTACTCCAAGCTCCTGCAGACAGACAGACTCCACTACTATGAAAATCCCATACTAGAGTGGTACATTTGTTATAATCGATGAACCTACATGGACACATCATTGTCACCCAAAGTCCACAGTTTATATTAGGGTTCACTCTTGGTGTTGTGCATTCTACAAATGTATGATGATATGTATCCACCATTATATTATCATACACAATAGTTTCTCTGACCTAAAAATCCTCTGTGCTCTGACTGTTCATTCCTTCCTCCTTACTAACCCCTGACAACTACTGATTCTTTCGCTCCTCTCTAGATTTGCCTTTTCCAGAATGTCATATGGTTGGAATCATACAGTATGCAGCATTTTCAC